TCTGATGACGTGTACTGGGATGACGTTGGATCGCAGTCCGTATTTTGAAGAGCACACTGACCATGTGATGACAACAGCTGGCAAAGGCCGGTCAACAATGTGGGTCCTGGACTGGCTCCTTCCCCCGTCAAACTTGCTTCAGCCATCCTTGATGTCAGCTCGTGAGTGGGCTCGGCGCATAGCATTCGCCTCGAGTTCTGGACGTCGCGGGTTCAAGTCCATGTGAAGGTTGAGATTTTTCACGTGGATTTCTAGTAATTTCCCCCTGGTCATTGGGTAGTAAGATGGGACGCCAGTATGTATTGTTGTGCATGTAAAAAAAAAAAACCTTTGGCAGTTGGAAATCGAAAAAAGTAGCCTTTTGATTTAAAAGCCTACCCAAAGTATTTTCAGGATCCTCGCCGGCGCCACAGAGTTCGTGCACTATGCTGAGATTCTTCGCACTCAGACTTGAGTTAAAAGCAAAACGGGGCACTTATGGGTTACTACCCTTGTGCCATGATGTTGATCCGTTGTTTAAACCTAAACCTCCAACCTTAGCTCAGACTAAGACTTGAACCCCCGTGTGGGTTCTGGGACCCCATTGTGGGGAAAACCAGAATACACCTGTAGCCTACAGAATAAGCATGTCGTAGGAGACTAGTTGTGGGCATCTTTCGAAGTCAGAGTGCATCCATCTGAGAGGCAATAAACCATCAGTCTGCATGCAAATAAACGGGATTTGTAAAACGGATGTGCATGCAACACTCAGGTTCTGGAACAAGACTACAGTCCAGAGTGGGCGAACAACTAGGACTTTCTGCCGCAGTTTACAGCGGGTGAACGAGAAGAAAAAGAAGAAGAAAAAGAAGAAGGAGGAAAAAATTTCATTACTATATATACTAGGGCTGTACCGAATATTCGCTTCGTATTTGCTTCGGAGCCGAATAGTGGCCTTAATAACTATTTGGTATTCGGCCGAATACTTGCGGTCGGGCCGAATACGAATAGTGGTTACCTTACATCCGTTTTGCATACACTGCAATGGACTGAAATAACTCTCATTAATACAATAGTTGCTGTTGCCTAAGTCTGTAGTAGCGGGGGAAACTGCGACACGGTTGCGTGGTACAGCAGCTGGGAGGGTCTTTGCCTGCTGACTCGACTGCGGCATTACAGCAGAGGTTCTCAAACTGGGTGCGCATGCCAGAGGTGCCGCGGCGAAAATCAATAAAATTTGGCTATAAATTGTGACCTTATTAAAGAAGGCATGAAGATTCTAAAAAATTAAAATTTAAATTGTCTTTCCTCGCTACTGTCGAAAAGAGTTTGTTCCCCCCCCCCCACCCACCTTGTTTCACACTCAAAGTGTATCAAACTGCATAAAATGCCAACCGCAGCGTGCTAAAAATTGTCTTTGTATTTATCTCGAGGTGCGACTGATCCTCTCTCCTTCTGTATTCGTGAAGGTGCAGTGGATAAGTAAGGTTGTGATTACATTTTGGCTTAAATTTTAAAGTGGAAAATGTAGTCTGTACAATAGTCGCTGTTAGCCTCATCAAGTAAGCACTTACATTTAAAGGCAATGCGTTTGAGTCCTGGACAATCGGTATTCAAGCCAAACAATTTCTTAAGGCCTCAGAAGTGTGTTTTACACAACAATGCTTAACATACCCTGGACAGCCAAAAAAAAAAAAAAAAAGCAACCAAGGCGTTTTGAAAGTTGCGGGAGCCCGAAGACAACTAATCACAGACATCAGAAGGAGACAGTCATCATTTTTCGGCCATATTATGAGAAGAGGGAAAATAGAACATGTTGTGACCACTGGAAAGATCTGTGGAAGGAGGGATAGAGAAAGACAACGAGAGAAGATTCTTTACAGTCTTGTTGCATGGCAGGGAGGTTTGTCAGCACACGAACTGATACATGCTGCAGGAGATCGCAGATTGTGGCGAGGCTTATTCGTGCAAGCCAGTCGGCAAGGCACCTGATGATGATAATAGACTATTCGCATTCGTATTCGGCCGAATAGTTGGTCCCGCAATCCGTATTCGGCCGAATAGTAAAAATCCTTATTCGGTACAGCCCTACTATATACGCTTTATATATATATATATATATATATATATATATATATATATATATATATATATATATATATATATATATATACACACACACACACATATGCATACATACACAAACGAACATGATAGCTGAAATGTAACAATAACATTATAGTAGAATGAGCGTGCATAAATACACAACACAGAAAAATCAACCACTATTACTATCGCACCTACTACTACTATGTCCACCACCACAACTACCACCCATCACAAGAATAACAACAACAGATCCTGCCGCTACCACTAGCTACCGTGAATTTCTTCCCTATGCTACAGTAATGAGCTGCAACAATCCCCCGGAGATTGATTTCCATACACTCAGATTTACATATAGATAGGATCTTCCCATGAGAGGAAATGAAGTGATCAAATGGTCATAGGTCTCAAAGAGAACATATGGGTTGAGAAACCACTAACAGACAGCCGTAGCGTCAGTATAACAGGAATATAAGACTGCCGTGAATACTTATTTTCTCCTTTTCTTCTGCCATCTATTACATCCCCGCCCCTTTCTGAGAAACCCCCTTTCCCCCAGAGTGGAGCTTAGAGCCTCAATCAACTCCCGTCAAGTCGACAGCGCCGCCTTAACGGCATTATAGGCCCCGGGCACATCAATGTGCTGGGGAGCTCTATGACAAACACTCACAGGAATGAAATGTAAATGGTCGATAATGTTAAACATATACTTATTGTAATGGCACTTCTGGAAAACTGGGTTACAGCATGACTTGATTATTGCTGCGACACCACTGGCATTTACTTACGGCACCCCTGGCATATGCTTATGGCACCCCTGGCATATGCTCACGGCACCCAGTTTGATAACCGCTGCTTTAGCCCGATCCAATGACTTCAGTAGCACGCCCTTTCAGCTGGAGCCGGTTGCAGTTACAGCGTAAAGGCAGATTAGACAACATACTATGGAAGTACTACAAACTTCTTATCTCACAAGTCACTTAATATTTACACACGAGCATGGGGCCTTAGATTCGCGGGCCCCTGGGGCAAGTGCCCAGCGCGGCCCATGCGTTAAGACGGCCCTGCAAGTCATTATATCCTTTGCTGCTGTATGTAGCCTACTCCATGTCGTCTCCATCCTTTTAAATTTACTCCCCTGTCAGTTTGTGTGTGTGAGTCTATCTTTATTTCTATGTCCCCTGTGGGCTCCAGTGTAAACACATTCTAGTTACACCGTTCTCATGAAAATTTGGTTATAAAAAGCATTTACGTCGTAACGAGGGTAAATGGTGGAAGGAAGAAAGAAAAAGTGGGGGGTGGGGTGTGGCAATAACAGGATGCCGTACAAATGGTGTCACAAGGCTCTTAGATGTTCCTGAACGCTTATATTACCGGTGCTAAAGGGGTAAACGTGTTACAATAAGGCGTGTTTTTTAATGGTGTGATCTATTACCCATGTACATCTGAAACAGGTGCGTCGGTTTCAACCATATATATATGTAGTTACATGGATTTAGGGCAAAAAATGAGACAGCATGAGAGAGAGAGAGAGAGAGAGAGAGAGAGAGAGAGAGTGAGAGAGAGAGAGAGAGTGAGAGAGAGAGAGAGCATTAATTATCTACTGGAGTAAAAATCTGCGAAAATAATTTAACTGCTCCTTGTTATGACGCTTCAGCACTTTGTCCCCATATTTTACACACGCCTCTACACTTTTTTAAAATTTTATTTCAAGAACTCATCGCCTGCGGTGGAAAAACCCACTTTAACTTTCCTTGACTTTCCCGAGACTGTATGTTTTTCTGCTTATCTCACAATCCATAATCAATATTCTCTCTACGTCTTTCTGTTACTCTTCATAACAATCGATCCATCCGTCAATTCACAGTCTACACTCCTCCAGCACAATCCAACAGTGAGGTAGGATATCTCTCTCATCCAACATTTCTTCCTTCATCACAGATGAAGGTAAAGGTATTCCTCTTAGTAACTTTCCCTATACCCCCTCTTTCCCATTCTCTCTCTCTCTCTCTCTCTCTCTCTCTCTCTCTCTCTCTCTCTCTCTCTCTCTCTCTCTCTCTCTCTCTCTCAACATGTATCTACTATCAAATACTGCACATCTCATTCTCCATACTTCTGCCTACATTCTTTTCCCCGTCCCCCCCCCCTCTCTCTCTCTCTCTCTATCCATCTATCTTTACGTCCATCCATCATGTTATGTAATATATTCTTCCTACATATATTTATTTCTCTGTACTTCTCCCTACATCCTTCACACCCCGTGCTCCACCCCGCCTACCCGTTTCTCCCCAACCATATGCACGCATCCGTCACCCAACAGTGCAAAGCGGATCTCTTAGCCGAGGTTTTTTTTAAACACTGCCACTGCCATCGGGGTTCCCCATACTTGCTCCGTTTCTGTGCCAGTGAAAATCAAATTAAATCTCCCTCACTGTCGTATTCGAAAAACTGGGAACAAACAAAAAGTTCCGGAACAATCCAGAAATATTTGTGGATGTCTTTGGATGCATGGATGGCTAGTGGCTCCAACACTTGATAATGATGACCAATGAAGATGACAACAAGAAGGTTAGGTTAGTTGAGTATCCTTTACAGGACGTTGCAGAACCAACCCCAACAGCCCCTGGCTGTTGCGTGGTTTTTCTAGGCAAATTTACAAGTAGTTTGCCATTGCGTTCTGGACGGTCGGCTTTCTTGATACCACTGTCGAAACCAACGCAAGGCGCATGGCCCGCAGCTGGGATCGAACCCGGCATCCCGGCATTACGAAGCGTTCGCATCGACTTAGCCACAGAGCACAACAAGAAGACAACAATAAAAAATATATCAGACATAACTATCGCATGTAAGAGGCCAACACAGAAAGAAAGAGAAGACCCGCAGGTGGGTCTGTGAGCAGCAGAGGGAACATTTACCTGTAAGGAGAAAGAGAGATCCAGCTCTGTTTCCAGTAATCCTCCAGACGGCACCAAGATTTCATTGGAACGTAAGATTCTCTTGGAATTCTGTAGACATAAAGTACTGAGGATTAGCGCACTGTCAAACACATGCAAACATGTAATGGCATAGAGAGACAAAAAGAATGACAAAGACAGGAAGATAGAGATATGAATAAATAGAGAAAGAAAGATGGACAGACCAGTGTTGCCACTTTGGATGTTTTACATCCAGATTTAGATGTTTTCCCTTGCATTTAGACGGCGTTTTTGACGTTTAGATGGTAGATGTTTTTCTTGATGTTTTTTATTTGGAGTGAATTTATCAAATCTAACCTAAAAAACAGGATGACATTTGAACTCTTACATGCTATCTTGACAATAAAATTCGGCCTGATAAGAGTAGGAAAAGGCTGTTCCACTTATCAGCTCCCTGATTGGGTATTAAAAGAAATTGGAACAGCTAAAGCATACCAGAGTCATTTTGGATCTGAAGCTTCAACTTCATCATCCAAGCTAAGTTTATCCATTCTGATGTTTTTTCTAGATGTTTTCCCACGACAATTTAGATGTTTTTATATATTTTTGACTTGGTTTGGATGTTTTTATTTTGTCAAAGAAAAGTGGCAACACTGGGACAGACATGTCTTACCTCTCTCCTTCATATACCAATTTAATCATAGGTCTCATTACGTTAATCTCAATCAACAAGAATAACAAAAACAGCCAAGTTCACATGATAAACATAGCTTATCTTAGTCCTAGTAGCGGTTTCAACTTCACTGCAATCGGGTTCATCATTATCATCATCATAAACCACTTCTGCCGTTAAGCGTCATAGGGAGGAATAATTTGCGATCCAGTGCACGTTGGCTGCCACTGGCTATTGTCATGTCGTAAAGGCGTAGAGTGTCTTTAATGTTGTCGATCCATGTTTTCCGCGGCCGTTCTCTTGCTCTGGTATCTGATCTTCTGAGATGTAGTGCTTGTGATGGTATTTGATCTTGCTGCATTATAACAAGATGGCCAAACCACTTGATCTGTTGTTTCTCGATGAATCTAGTACAAGGCGTCGTTCCCACAATTTGCCTGATAGTTTCATTATTCACTCGATCTCGTATGGTTAGGTTGGGCAATCGGGTTTGCCCATAATAAAAGCAGCTTCGTCTTCTTCTTCTCATCCACCTTGTACCTCAGCGGGGGAAAGATGTAACGTTCGTTGATGATCTCTCGAAAGCATGTTTGTGTGTGTGTGCGTGCGTCTGTGTGTGTTTTATATCGACTTTTTTCTGTTCTTCTTACAGTCTACGTCGTGTGGAAGTTGGTAGTCATGTCTATTCACAACTTTCTGTCTTGTGTGCTTTCAATTAGTTCTGGCACAGACGATCCTCCATGCCATAATGTTACTGCCCAGGATCTACTCTCTCTGTTGTCCTCTGCGTCTTTCCCCCTCCAATTTTCCCACCGTTAAGGTGTATTCCAGTTTTTTCCATCTCATGATGCGACCGAGAGTGGTCCTGGTCTCCTTCTGATGTGGGTTTTCTTCGGAGTCAACCTGCGCTGGTGAAAAAAATTCATACACAGCCATTTCGCCCCCCTGTTCTTGATAAATTGGATTGTTGTTGTCTTCTGTGGGGTAAAGGGTCTTTTCGGTATACAAGGCTAGATATGTATCTTAAAGACCAATCGGCAATCGGTGGGTGATATGGACAACATCACACCGGCCGCTTTTACATCCCAGGACTTTACCCGGTACCAAATTAAGGCTCGGTCGACATGGCAGCCAATGTCATTTTCCTAAGGAAAAGAAAAAACAGAAGAAAAGAAGAGAAGGGGGAAAAGGGGGGGGGGGGGGAGAGATAAGGATATCAAGAAAATTTCATTTTTAAAGAAACAGTCCAGCTCCGTTCGAATCTGAACCCACGACCCTCAGATTCGCAGGCGGCTCCCTTTGTCTTGCACGGCAGCAAAACTCGTGCAGGAGAATGAAGCAGATACATGCATAACTACCTGGCCACTGGACTCATCTTCGTCATCATGACTTCTGCCCTAATCATACGACAGGGACTCAGATGAGTATCATTTATTTAGTACATTATAATCCGGTGTAGTCATTTCATAGTTAAGTGTACATTTTTTGTTATGTGTGCTGCAGTATCTTTGTTTGCTGATGAAGGCTAATCGCTGAAAGCGTCCTTTGTTTGTTCACTGTAATTTATTTTGTAAAGCTGACATAAACATTTTTTTAACCACTTTTTCTTCTTTTCTCTATAATTTCCTACCCTTTTTAAAAACTAACCATACGAGGAAGCGTTCATCTCTGGCCGGCCGGGCCACATGCTTACTAGAATCAAGGATTATCTTATTGCTTAAGTTCCGCTCGATCCATGCGGCCAAACCATTCAAGAATTTACTCCCATTTGTCTTCCATGAAGTATACGTACCCAATATTCTTCTCAACGTTCTCAAGGAGACGCATCACACATGGACAAACCCCCACTGCTGAGACGTCGGTGTTTTATAAGTCAAGATCCCCTTTCACGCCTTTAGGCGCATCAGGCATATGGGAAGAGGGCTATCCTCCGACTAACGGTCGGTAAAGATGGCGACCGCAAAATATCCTTTCGAGCCACATTCACGTGTCAATTGCGCCGGCGACTACCGCCACCGCCACGTGTCCCCCACGCCCCTAACGCGGCGTGGAATGGGGTTAAACTAGATGGCTAGGACCCACGGGCAGCAGCCGCGGTGTGCTCGTGATCGCTAGTGCGCAATTGACATGTAACTGTGGTTCGAAAAGATATTTTGCGGCCGCCATCTTTACCGACCGTTAGTCAGAGGATAGCCGGGAAGAGCATCCCATATTTTTACAGACCAATCGGCACTGGGTGGGTAATGTGGTCAGCATTACGCTAGCCGTCTTTACTTACCCAGGACACGACGTCGTATAATAAATTCTAAAATAATTAACCTGTTTTCCATTGACCGAAGCCGGCCTCTCGCCTTCCAACTCACAACAAACAACCGTCTATCGATCTTCTCCGGACGTTTGTATTTAATCTCCGCAGGATCGTGACCTATTTGTTTAGCTTGCTTCCGTTAAATATTTTACAACTGGGAGTGTCGAAGCGATCTGATAGCAAGTCTCTGGGTATGTCGAAGCGATCTGATAGCGCGTCTGGTCAGCTTCAATTGCCGTGGCAGTGGACCAGCAGCTGAGATTCCGGGATATCCGCAAGTTTATGACCGAGGACTGACGATGCAGCAAAAAACAGAAACAACAGAAATGACATGTCTGCGACGAATCCAAAACGTAACTAGAAAAGACAGGATGAGAACTGGCAGTATCAGAAAAGCAGATGGAACAGAACCAGCACTGAAACACACCAAAAGACAACAAACAGATCAAATAGTTCTGGCCTATGTCAAGACTACTACAGGAAAGTGTATCACAGAGAGCCCCGCCACTTCGAAATAAAGGAAGCAGTTCCAGAGGTCGACGACGCAAGCGATGGATAGATGGAATTTCCGAGGCCATAAATATCAACATCTACGCAGCACAGAACCCAGGCTCGCAGCCGATGCCTCTTCAAAACACGACACTGAAAAGCAGAACAAGACAGAGAAAAAGAAGCATACGCAGCATAAGAGATAAGCGCAGTTAATAGCGTGGCTACCGCAGTCATGCAGCACTGCCAATTCTAACGGTGCGGTCTATTTCAAAATAAACCACACACTCGAGCGCGCGCGCGTCCTGATTGCAGCGCACTAACTCCGTAACACAGCAAAGGTTGAACAATTTGCAATACGGAATAACAGATGCTATAATTATCACTGTTTAATTGCTGCGAAATATTGCCAGAGCAGCTGTCTACCATTTGCCAAGCCTTCTTCTTTCTACATGCGACTCAGATTTTCAACAAAAAAGCCTGTACACTGGATCACTGCGGCCGTTTCCAGAAGATAAGTCGTGCGAAGTCGTGCGACCCATCGGAAGGGCAGAATATTAGACGGGCCTGCGTGCCCAATTCTTAACCCTTTGAAAATAAAGTTTGTTCGTTCGTTCGTTCGTCCTAGGTGTGTGTATGTGTGGGTGTGTGTGCGACAGAAACAAGTCTAGAAGGATACACAGGTACTGAACCACTGGTACCAGCACCGCTGCTGAGACTGGTCAAGACATATCTACACCTCTTCGCAGTCAACCTAGAAACAATTTCTCAATAGAGGGCCTAACCACGTAGACAGAATCGACTTTCCTTCGAAGTCAGGCTGCATGTGGCTGAGAAACGAGGAACCATCAGCCTACACACAAATAAACAAGGTCTGTAAAACTGATGTGTATGCAAAGCTAAAGTTCCAAAACAAGACGAATGTCCAGAAGTGGGTGAAAAAGAAAGATTTCCCATTGCAGGTCACAGTCGGTGTAGAAGAAGAAGAAGAAGAAGAAGAAGAAGAAGAAGAAGAAGAAGAAGAAGAAGAAGAAGAAGAAGAAGAAGAAGAAGAAGAAGAAGAAGAAGAAGAAGAAGAAGAAGAGAACACAACAACAACAACAGATGGAGAAGGAGAAGCGGAGGAGACACAAGAAAGAAATTTAACAAACCTGCATTTTAACTGCAATGAGGAGGGAGGTCAATTCGCTGTCCAGTGGCCGTAAAACACTTAATCTGGTCAGTGTCAGGCTACACAACCTGTAGAGATACACAAGAATGAATGACATAACCGATTCAAATCAACAACCCTCAACCAACCAAGACGTATGAAAACATCAAACGATTCCTGGCAGCCATTTTGTCATGACAGGAAAGGGTGTCACCATAGAAACCAATACATGCTGTTGAAGATCGCAGACTGGAGATTCATGATGAACTTGACGATGATGAACACTAATCGCGGAAACTGGCGACGTTGTGGGCAGATGCTCGCTAGCAGACCTGAAGGTCTTTGGGTTCGCATGCACACTGAGACGATATTCCTTAAAAAATAACCGTGGCTCCCAGGTCCGGATCTGATATGGGCACCAGGTATTTTCCTGCGAAGTAAAGGCGACTGGCGTACTGCTGACCACATCACAATTCGAGCGCCGATTGGTCTATATAAGTCAAGCACTAACTGCCCGAAACGCCACTGGCGTGAAAAAGGTCTTTTGCCTTTGACTTTAGCAACCAGTCTGTCTCCAGTCGGATATATCCAGCGCAGTGCTGAATATACAGGGCACAAGCTATGCTACAGCTTGGGGCTCCACAACGTATCGAAGAAACTATTCGCATTTCAGTTGAATTTATTCAGTTTTGTGCTTTATTTTATATTAATGTAACTCTGTAGTAACGCACCTGATGAGATAGAGCGAAATATGCCAGGCAATAAACTGGGCAATGTATTGTTTGTATCCGCATTTTTAAAATTCATTACGGGAAAACATTGTTTTGAATATATCATTATGTTATATTTAGCACACATTTGAGACGGATGACAATTGATGGGTAATGAGGTCAAATTTACACTGGTACCAAAACATTTCCTGCTACCCATTTCGGGCCGAATTTTGCGGAACCCAGGGTCTATTATACAATCCTCCAAGCAGATTCGAACCCTAAACCTTTGGGCCGGTAGCTGTGGGGGCACAAATATAACGACACAGTTGAGAGAGAGTGTGTGTGTAGGTGGGGGAGAAAGGGGGGGGGGGGATTATCATGTGTGTTAATACTCAAACAAAAATTCGGTTATTTTTACGATGTTATCCCCATTTGCACACCACCAGTTGGAGGTCAACTCTATTGATAAGTTGGTTGCACTAGTTTATCGTGGTCGAGGTTATGGATGTCGCAGTCTGTTTTCTGGTATTTAGATTTTTATTTCCGAGAGGTTTTGTCACTCTCTCGGGTGTTGTTGTGTGTTAGACTCAGTATCTAAATGTTTTAGAAGTGGTAAAAGCTCTGGCATGGTGAAATAAACAACACGCGATATGAGCGCGAGTGCCATGTGACCTTGTGTGAAAGTCGGATCGCCCGAGGCCAACCAATCAGGGGTGAGGTGGTCAGTTGGTCGTCCAGTCAGAAGCGAGCTAGTGTGTAGCGGTGTCAAATGGGGAGACCAGCGTAAAATGTACTAAATATTCTAATGTACTCAGACAGAGCTCTTTTTGGTCCCTAGGGCAGCGGTTCTTATCCTGCCGGTCGCGACCCTTTCTTGGGGTCGAACGACCCTTTCACAGGGGTCGCCTAAGATCTTCAGAAAACACATATTTATTGAAGTTGTGAAGGAAAATAATTGTTTATGGGTCGCCAGAACATGAGGGAACTGATTTACAGGGTCGTTGCACTGTGAAGGTTGAGAGCCACTGACCTGGGGAGGGGGGGGGGTGCAGCCACTCACCATAAAATTTCAAACAAAAGGTGTCGGTGCTCACCACAAAATATCGATTATGGTAGCACTGAAAAAAAAGAAAAGAACTCCAGTTGAATGTTGAATTAGGAATCGACATCACAACACTCGGGAGACTTCCATAAGCACTCAGTTCCCATCTTCAGCAGCAAGCGAAAAGTTCCAAAATACGATGGTACTGATGAATTCATAAAAAGGGTTAGAGTGTAGAGCACTCCCAGAAACAAAGATCTGCGTGTACACAATAGTGTTTACAATGCCAGCCAGACAGGAGGACCTCTCTAGGTCGGTGTCAGTAACTCGAACTCTGGACGTCGTCTGCTCATTGCTGATATACTTTTTCTTCGGTTTTATATCTTTGCTTGTTCGCAGTAAGGAAGCCGTGGTGGCGCAGTGGGTGGACATCTGCCTACAAGCCACAAAAGTGATGGGTCGAGTCCGCATCGAGTTTGGACTGTTATAAAATAACCTGTCTGAGATCAATATTCAAAATAAAATGGGACGAATTCAAAAGGAGTGAAGAAATAAGAGATATATCTGGACAACCACTTGTATCAACAGTTATAAGACAGAGAAGATAGCGCTACATTGGACACTTTCCGAGCAGAAACCAGCAGAGAATCACCAAACAGGCATTAACATGGGAAATAAAGGGATTAAAGAGAAGACGCCCAAAATGAAACCCTAAGACCAACGTTGATAAGAGATGGTAGACTGGATTCCATCCATGACAAACAGAAAAGAACGGAGTGGGGCTATCCTCCGAATAACGGTCCCAAATTATCGAGGCCGAAAATATACCCTAACAGGGCCTCAGTCACATGTCAGTTGCGGACTTCCCGGGACTATACCGCCACCGCCGAGAGTATCTCACACGCCGCTACGCGCGGTGTGGTTTGGAGCTAAACTAGATGGATGGGACTCACGAGCAGCAGCTACCCCATCTCCTGCAGCTTCCTTCATTTTATTTGCCTGTGAGTCCCATCCAACTAGTTTAGCCCCAATCCACGCCGCGCGTTGCGGCGTTTGAGATACCCTCGGCGGTGGCGGTATAGTCCCCGGAAGTCCGCAATTCGGCGGTGGCGGTATAGTCCTGGGAAATCAGCAACTGGCATGTGACTGTGGCCCTGTTAGGGTATATTTTCGGCCTCGATAATTTGGGACCGTTATTCGGAGGATAGCCCGGAGTGGAGAAACAGACTGCAAACCCAATGTGACATACAAAGGGATAATGAATGAAAGAATGAATGAATGTAAACAGCAGTCAAGTGTCGTAAGCTCGATGCATCAATGGCGCGAAAATGACGATATCATGTTCAACCTACACTGGTTATAACTGGGATATACCGAGTGTTACTGGAACTACTTTTGGTTATTCAGAAACAGCTAATCATCTGTTGAAGCTAGCATGACCTTTCAATGCTACCTTTTCAGCACATGTGTGACGTCAACAAAGAGAGCGGGAACTTTCAATGTCGTTTCTTCCCCCTTTCTCTTTAAAATGTGCTGACAAAATGAACCTTTCTATAAATAAATACAATACACGGTTGGCCTCAATTCTTTAAACACCTGACGTAATCCTTCTTCTTCTTTCGTTCGCCCTGACGTAATCCAAATCTGAACAAGCTGATGGTAAAACAATACCATCTCTCTCCCCCCCCCCCTCTCTCTCTCTCCCCATACATACATACACATACAGACACACACACACACACACACACACACACACACAAGCAAGCGAACTATTCACACACTGAAGCGATATTTCCTGCTGCGGCTGTGCTATTTTCAGCGTGCCCGCGCTATTTCAATCAAGGGTGAAGATAAAGTCGTCTCCCGTACCATAGAGGTGACATGGTAACGATACAACATAACAAAGACAGGATTCAGGCTTTCTGAACAATTCAGTAACTACATACATACACCTTCTAGGCTCTTTTTTCCAGCCTCTACATTGAAGGTTGCCAGTCATATGTGCCCAAAGATGTCTCTGTGAATATTATGTGACAAGGCCCCAATTTGTTCCACGGTGCGATTCTCGTCACACTGTCCGAAAGCCACGGAAACGGTTTTTTCCACTTAAGCGCTCGCAGCATAAATCCAACCCTGGTACGCCGAGAATTATGACACGCGTTCATCAACCTCTAAGCCGAACGTCGACTGTTCTTATTTCTTACTCTATGTCGTACCCAAGGCTGCCGAAAATATTTAGGGAATAGTACCAAATATTTTTTGAAAAGTTACCAAATAATACGAGGTACGACATTTTTAATTTGTCATTTGAAAAAACAGTTAACACGTCTTTGAAAAACATGCATATCATTGGCTTACCATATATTTGACCATAAATGAAATTCTTTGTCCATTACATGATTACTGGACTATTTGTTTCCGCTCGGTTTATTACATAGCTGCTGGGTCGGCTTCTAGTTGATGCAATTAATGTCGTGTAGCAAAAACTTTGATCTCATCAATGCATTTATTGTTTAAGTCTTAAACAAAAGTGATTTTTTTTTTAAATAACTCAACATTGGTATTAAAGAGAGAGAGACAAAACTGAAACGTACCAAAACATCAGGCATGTTACCAAAGGTACAGTTTTTCCCAGCAAGGGTCACACAGTACCAAATATGTACGAAAATACCAACTTCAACAGCCCTGGTCGTAACCAAGGGTGTTAGTCAGCGCCTTGGCCTTTCACCTTGTAGGTGTCAAGTAACTAACAGTAAAGGACCATATTCCACGCCTGGGCACACAGGGCTAGAACAATATTTTATAAAATGATCGGCACTCAGTTTGTGATTTGAACATAACACCGACCAACTTTACTTCCCAGGACTTTAGCTGGGAGCCGCGTTAGCCTAGTCGATAGGAGGCTGGCTTTCAAATCCAGCTTCGCTGCAGCCACGGTCGATGTTCGAAACCGGGCGGTGTCCGGAGTTTACCCAGCCTCTAGGAAATGGGTGTGCAATGACGCTGGTTCACATCTTCCGACTTTATCTTTACCTTTTTTGCTGGTCCCCATTTGAGGCTGGGTCGACCTGGGAGCCAAGATCATTTTTGGAAAATGAAAAGTCTTCGCTGGCTGTTGACGATAAGGACGGAGCGATTATGGGAATGTCCAGAGTTCTTAGTTCAACACAACGTCTGAAGGTGTGGACGAGGGTCCTTTGTATGATATCATGGACCCGCAAAATTTGGAACAACAGTAAACATTAATGGAAACAGGAAACGCTGATCTCTCTCTCTCTCTCTCTCTCTCTCTCTCTCTCTCTCTCTCTCTCTCTCTCACACACACACACAAACA